AGAGAGAGAGAGAGAGAGTGAGTTAGCAGTCCTAATTGCAGACTGGTGATCTAGTGGAGCTGCAGCTTGCTGTGGTTTGGTCTGTGGCTTCCAACGCTGCCCCTAAAAGCCCTCTTTGTTCTCACGTTTCAGAGACGAGCCAGTAGCCAATGTGTTGCTTTACCCCTGCCTTCTAAACGCCTTGCTAACAGGCCTTCGGGGGACTGTTCTGAATAGTTAATTGCACAGGACCCCCATCCCCACTGGATTTCACTGTTTGTAAACCCAGCCTTTCTAGCAAACTTTCTGTAAGGACAGGAACACAACAGTGAGCAGGCCAACTCGTGCACCGTCACTTTTTGTTGGCACGCTCCATTTTGTTTGGCTACAGGAGAGGTTTTTACAGTGGGAGAAGGCTTCAAAGTGTTTCAGGGGAGGCTCAGTGAACAGAACTGATTAGTTATCAGAGGAAGATCTTAGGAAAAAGCCTGAATGCATTGTGCATGCATTCATATATTTGGATTAGTCTGAAATTATGTCACAGCTTCCTTAAGCTCTTTGTTTGGCACTGAAATCCATACATGTCCCTGAAATGTTCTGCAGTGGCTGTGTCCAAGACAGTTGTCAGAACCTTCCTGCCAACTCCCTTGTAAAATGTCCAGGTTAGTCAATTTGAGAATACAGCAGGAAAATGTCTGGAAAATTCACAGCCAACGCGAGTGGGCGTGTTGATGATGTTTCTAATGTGCAACAGAGAAAACAAATAGCTCAGGATGAAAAAGAGGAACCATGTTGAAGGATGTCAAGATGTCAACTTGGAAAGACAAGAAGAACTTGAGAGTTTTTGGTGATAAGGCAAAAACATGTGAGTACCACAGCTGAATGTATACATCGTATTCTGCCTCCTGCTGCTCTACCCAGGCACCACCCGTCGCCTGAGTGTTCCGGACATTGTTGTTGTGAATACGTCGGATTCAAACGATATTTTAACAGAACAAGAGGGAAATATATACGTTAACTACGGTGGGATGATGGGGCACCCTTTTCTATACCTTGTCTAAGGAGAGGCCATCAGTCTCAGACTTTGAAACCCCCTGATCTAAGCAAGCAACAAGTTTCAAGGACCACAGCAGTTTGAAGATGCCAGAAGTAGGGAATGGCTCATTCAGATATTTTCCTCTGTGGTAAGAGCAGTGACGCTATGCTAGCCACTAGAGTCTCCTATATCATTAAAGAGAAAAGGGAAGTAGTCTTTTTTTTCTTAAGCAACTCGACTCTAGGAAACATCCTTGAATTGGTTACACACACTGATTCAAGAACAGCCAAAAACAATGGGCTCTGTCTGCAATAGACCTTTTTTCCGACAGAGAAGGATGTATTCAACTCGAGCCAAGAATAGACAATCGATTGTCAAAAACAAACAAAAATCTCAAAGGAAATTAGAGAGGCAGCTCTCTGCTCCCATACTTGCTCTCCTCCCCTTTCCCTCCGCTCTTTTTCTTTACCCTATGACTCCACTTTTTCTTCCAGGCACAGGGAAAGCTATTTCCCGTTCTCACACATGTTCATGCATAAACGTCACTCCCTCACAGAGCACACAGCAGGCTTGTTTGTGGGAGACTTCTGGTCCTCGCCGACGCCTTTCATGCACAGCTTTAACTCAACTACAGAGGACAATGGGTTTTCAGTGTGCATCACATATCTATTTAACTCAACCTACAAGGATGGTTAGTGTTTTTTCTCCCCTGACATATGACACATATGATCATGTGAATAGACCCTAAAGCAGTCGGAGTTCCCATCTTTACTTTTTCAATCTGACTCAATGTCTGGGCCAACTTCCTCTGAAACAAACCACAAAGACTCACTGTGAAGAACTGACATCACATTAGGAACTGTGCTCTTTGCAGCCAACATCAGTGGGATGTCAGATAGACTCAGAAAAGACATGAAACAAGTGAAAATCCTCCAGACTGATGCCATTTATCCTCTGAGTACACAAACACTGAGGTGCTGCTTTGTAGCTGTGTGTGTGTGTGTGCGTGTGTTTACCGACACTCGGCTTGAATGCAGAGGGTGCTTTGTTGAGCTTGTTGCTACTTTTGGAAAATAAAGTGTCCTGAATCATGAACACGTTTGTAATCACACACAGTAATCGCAAACACAAAGTTGAGGGAGCCATTGACATTATCCCAGCGATAACCCTGCTGGTAATCTTGTTTACAATGAACAGCTGAACGTCAGATAAAAAGACACGACCTGGACTGTGATTGGTTCTAAAAATACCTCAGCTCCGGAAGGTTTTATAACAACGTCCTATCAGAGCGTATAACAGGTAAAATAAATTGTTGCCCTGACCTTTCTACAAAGAGCACAAAACCACTGATACCGAGGTTTAAGCTTTTCCTTTCTATGTTAAAGGAAGCAAATGAAAGAGCAAAGACTCTCAACCTTCACAGTTCATCGCCCTGTGTTTACAGCTAATTTCCCTCTACTGACATGAAATAAAAGTTTACTGACTAATATCCACATAAGACTGATAGCAACACAAACCTCCACAGAGCAGAAATAGAGGTTTGACGCTGCTCTGTGCTGTTCTCTGGTATCCGGAGCTGAAGCTCTAGTATGCAAATGCTGCACACTGTATTTTTTTAGTATCCATTTCTATTCGTGCAACTCACTGCTATTTGTATGAGTCTGGAATAAGCCTGTCAGCAGTGATGTAATTTCATATTCATGAAAAGTTCCTGAGCAATCTCCATCCTGGAACACGTCGAGGGATTACCTATGTGAATTATGTATGTTGAGATGGAGAGATGCCAGAGAAGAGGAGAAGCAATAACATGTCGAATGTTAAAGCCTCAAAACGAGTGCATAGCCTTAATGGTAATTTGTATATAATCAAGAATTAATTTCATACTTTTAAAGAGTAAATGCTGCCACTCACGTCTTGGTTGACATATGAAATATTACACTCACACATCATTAACAGCTTATGGGAAATGTATTTATTCTATGAAATTTTACCTTAAAATTATTAAATATATTCTATTTTATAATCTATAAATACAAGAGAGAAAAATATTAGTAAATATATTATTTTAAAGAGCTACAACTCATGAACTGTGACTAAGCACAAGCTACCACCCCGTGCTGTATAAGGAAGTAATGTCAAAAATACAGAGGTACTGTATGACGGCAGCCAAAGATAACCTTTGTTCTGTGTGTTCCCTCAGGTGTAGAATGTTCCATCACCTGCATGAAAACTGGGTCAATGGTGATAAAAATGACAGTGCCCAGATGAAAACAAAAGAATCCATGAAGAAGTGTCTTAATAATAGCTTGATTGAAGCTGACTAGATGGCAAGTCTGAAAAGTTTTCTAGCTCATAACTCATGAAGTCTATTTAAAAAGCAGAAATGTGTCCAAGTGGTGAACTATCTGTCCATTTACATCACCCGACTGGCGTTGCATCGTGGGTACTGAAAAAATATTCTTGGGTGAACATTTGTCCCTGTGTAATTCAACGACTGTCACAGACGCGGTCGATGCAGGGTTTGCTATTTGGTATAGTGACACAAAGGATTTCTGGGGGCAGCGTCATATATTATTCTATGTACAACATCCACACACATTCACAGCTCTGACAGCACGTGGGCATCCGAGGACATTTCCTTGGTATTGGTAGGCAGTGAATGTGAGTGTGTTGGATTTAAAACGTAAGCATGATACCAGCCCCTCTGGGCTCAACATGAATCATGTGTGTTACATAAGAGAAAAACAGAGAGAGAGAGGATACACATGGGATCAGCCATGCCCTCCCTCTTGCCCATCCGCCCATCTCTCTCTCTCTCTCGCTTCTCTCCTCTTGTTCCTCACCCTCACAAACACATCCATTATTGGTTTAGGCTTTAAAAGAAAAAGAAAATCAATTAAATGTTTACAGGAACCAAAACTATCATGCAGCGCTGCCTTCCGCCATGTTTTCATTGATGCAAAACAAACCCACGTTGTATTCTGCACCTGCTCGGATTGATGCTGGACAGTATTGTTTCAAAGCGCTGCAATCAAATTCAAATTTCAAACGGTAATCACTAAAATTTTACAGTGAATTTGAATTTGCCCTCAAACCAATAACTGTTCCACTCCCCCCCCCCCAACACACACACACACACACAAATTTACTCATTCATACATACACAATCTGCCTTTTCTCTGTGGCAAGGACATCTGGCACATTTCACAAGCTGCCGATGTGTGGGGAGTGTGTGTGTGTGTGTGTGTGTGTGTGTGTGTGTGTGTCTCGGTGTATCTGGGTAGCGCATGTGTGGAGGTAGAGTGTGTTTGCGTGGGGGGAGGGGACTGGAATATCGGAGGGCTAAAGTGAAAGGAAAGCTGGCAGAAGTGAAGGGGTTCAGCGAGTACAAGCCACTGGCATTGTGTGCCTGAGAAGGAAACAAGACACAGGCTTTATCTGTGCTGCAGGTATCGATAAATACGTGTTATCAGCTCTGTTTACTGAAACTTCTATCAGTGAACCACAGTTCAATATTTAAGTCCGAAACGTCACATTCAAAGATAATAATCTAACATTTTCAGGCTGGAATAAAAACCTGATCTGTTGTGGCGGCTGTTGTGGGGTAATAACCAAAGCTGGCTAGCCGTGCTAAAAGCTCTCAGAGGACGCAAAATGTCACGGCTGATTAAAACCTTATGACAGCAATGTGACCACAGACAACATCATCTCTCTTCCACTGAAGAGCGGAGGAAAACTGTCTTGACTCATTATGACAGTGAATGGATTCACAGAGTGGGTGGGAGCACCTGAACACTCGGCTGCCTAACGGAGGCAGAGCAACCTGATCGACCCGAGGGTAAAGGAGATCAATTCAATCTAGCTGACCTGCATGGCGAGTAAAAAAAAAAAAACTCAATCAATTTACAAGAGAAGGCAAAGATGGCCGTTTAGTCGATTTGTATCACGTGGGCACAGAGACAGAGAAAGAGCGTCTATGTCTTACCTGATGCGTGACCATGAGGGAGCAGGGTGAAGAGGAGGAGAAGCGCGGAGGCAGCCAGCCTGTGGGCTCGAGAGGAGCAGGAGGTGGAGGAAGAAGAGGAGGATGGGGCTCTCGTCTGAAACGCTACCATTCCATCGCACATCTTTTCCTCCGGCGACCAGCGAGAGTCCTCTACGGCTTAACCTGTCAGGGCCACATAGAGAGTAGGGGATAGAGAGGGAGGGGGGAGGAAGGACACAGATTACTATCAACATTCAGTGAGGATTACGTAACCAAAAGCAACACAGAGAAACAGGAGGGGATAGAGAGCGAGCCACAGTGTAAAGACAGGAAGCCAAACTGAACACAGGCCGTCTCTGCATGTCATACACTTGTTTTGCAGTTGATAACAATAACTGAATGGATGACTGGGTGCACTTCCTCTTCTCATGTGTTCCTTGAAAACTGCATCCTACTATTTATACCATCTTCAAACAAAACGTAAAAACAAGCAGAGGGTTTCTCTTGATTTCCCCTTAATCTTCAATCATCACTCTGCCTCAGAATCGAACTAAATAAATCAGCCGTTAGATGATGTAACGGGGAAACCTTATCCCTGCAGCAGATGAGGTACCAATGTTAGAGGGAGGACGGCTTAAAAACGTGCAAGGGAGAGTCAGCAAAAAAACAAAACAGTGATTACAGCTGCAGCTTTAATGAAAACCCTGTTGGTGAGGGAAGGAACTAATCCCTACTGTTTGGCCAGTGTCGCTCATCAGCAAAACATTATTAGAAGTTAATCTATTATCTGTTCAAAATGTATAAAAGCGCACAAACAAACACTTATTAAGCAGGGATTCCCCAAATGTAGTTATTGAAGAGTGATGCTGAGGAGGACACGCTATTTTTACAGCTGAATGAAAAGCAGATGCTGTTCCATGGTCGGCTCAGCTGTGGTGCTTCTCTGCCATATGCTGCACGTCCGTAATAATGTTTGATGGACAAATTATGGAATAATAACTTGATCAGGTGCCCCTTTCTGAAAAAATCCCTTTATTTTTTTCCCCACCACTCACATGGCCAAACATACTGTATGAGATGTTGATAAACCTTAACTATAATTTATAGCCAATATCAATGGTGAAACACTTTAAACAACAACAGTGGAAGGAAGGAACACATCCTTTCTCCACGACACAGACTTCACTAACTTCCTCAGCACATTTGTCGTTTGATTGGAGGATACAACCAGACGTGCAATATCATTACCTAAATGAGATGCAGGTGCAGGCAGCATTGGTTATGTTGCTTCAGAGACATTGGGATGAAGCAGCGGTAGCTGCATTCTGCAGGGAACTCGCCGACTGGCAGGCAGCAGCCGAGGGCCCATTACAGCCACACAAGGCTGCTTAGCTAATGGCTACAGTAATGGCATGGCTGCACTTAAGACAGACACAAATTTGATTGCAGATCTGCCGTGTTGAGGGAAGTAAACAAACACACACAGATGGCAAATAGTACCACAAGCTTCTGGGGGGGGTCCACTGGACACGAAATTACCCCAGTGTGTTCCGTGCATACAGATTTTAAATTATAGAAACAAGAAAGTACTAGTATCAAGCTGGAATAAACCGATGACCATTTTGCGGTGTAAGAATTGTGTAAGACTCATTGTGTATGTCTACTCTCTGTACAAGGAACCATTAGAAATTTTATTCTATTTCTGGTACATCCACATTTGAGTGACCGGCACCAGGCTAGATTTCAAAAAACAGGAGATCACGACAATCTAATTTGGCAGAAGATTTCCAGGACACAAACAGCAGGGGTCCCATACTGCCTGCCACCTTTCTGGTGTCACGAAGAGCCAATAGGATGGAGAATGGTACTCGCATGTGGCGCAGACCAGTGGGAGAGAGTGACGCAAGTCTGTTTTGGCTGGACAGTTCGGTTACTGCATTGAGCCAAAGGGCAGCCAGTCGGAAACACATGCAGGGGACCTGTGCCAGCCATTTGACCCATAGGCGCTTTGTCATTTGTTCATGTTGGGATCAGAGCGATGCAGCTAAGGCCTGGGTTAGCGAGAGGCTTTACATTAACTCGTCTTAGGGACAAAACAAGGACAAACAGAAGTCAACGGCAGGACAAGAAGGAACACGTGTTTTTTTTCAAAGGCACTTGTTGGGATGTAAATAACCACTTGGGATGGCATTTATAATGCAGCACTGACCTCCTGAGGGAGCTGAGGGCAGAGTACTGAATGGCCAGTATGTTTGAGAACTGAAAACTTAAGCAGAATTAGCTTAATTGCTTTCAAGCAATATCATCGGAGAAACGAGAAAGTCATTAACTCCGTGCTTAGGTACCACAAAATACAGTGTTCCAATTAGTTAGAACAAGACAGCTCCGAGGCTTGAAGGATTCTTTTGCGGATCTTATGATGTGCTGACTTAATGTTCCTGCATTGTATTGATTAATAACACAGCCGGCAGTTCCACAGCAAAAGCACAGACATGCTTCCAAGTCTTAAAGTTAACTTTAGTGAGTTTCTTGTCAGGTGTCACCAACATTAGAGACTGTGCTGCTATTTTAAACTTCAAGAGACTTAGCCTCTGTTTCCTGGAACATGATTTTGCATCCAACCACACATACAAACACTTCCTGCCTGCAGATGCATGAAGCAAACACCAGCTTCCCCAACTTACAGTTATGTGCAGGTAACAGTATGTTCAATCAGTGTGCATGTTTAAATAGCCATCAGTGCCATTACGAAGTCATTTGAGATTGCTGCATACTTTAATTATATTTAGTAGCATTATAATGGGGACTCTAACAGAAAAAGCGATTGAACCGACTGAACAAAAACATGTAGAGACATAAAATACACCAACACATGCAAACAGATCCAAGAGAGGCATGAACCAGAAGACTCAATTCAAAACATGTGACATTCCCTTTTCACATTAAATACAGCCCTGTGTGTGTCTGACTATCCTACATGCAATTACTGTCATGTGTGATATTTGTTTCAACACAACTTCCCTATACATTACACGAAGACTTCCTGTCAGTGATGAGGGGCATCATAAACATTAATGGGTCACCATAAACATTGTGATTGTCATGAGTTGCAGCAATAAAAAGCAATGTTATTTATCAGTTGTTTGGTCCTGTTTCAATCCACTGCATGAAAGAAATTAAGTTGTATTTTTACAGCACAAATACTTAGTAGGTTTTGTCTACTTAAGGGAAAAGAACTCTGCAACTCTGCACTTCAGACAGCACTGAGACGACCAGCCAGCCAGCAGGCTGTTACTGCAGTTTGTCAGCTGCCCCGGGCTCCTGGAATGCAAAGGGAGCCAAGGAGAGCAGCAGCAGAGGCATCTGTCCGGGAACAGAGAGCGCTCAGTGTGCCAAAGAAACAGCCGAGAGGAGATTTCCACCCGATAGGCCCCAATGCTACTCCTGCTGGTAGAGCCCGTCTGGGCCTGCGGAGGGAGCCCAGAGATGGGGCTCTGCATGGCAGCACAGAAAAGACCCTTTGTTGTCAAGTATTTTGTAGTGTTAAGCCCCACAGGGCCTGAGCATCCCTCTGCACTGCCTCAAGGAAGGGGACAGAAACAGACAGAAAATGGAGACGAGCAAAAAGAGGATACGATGAGAGACACGAAAAAAAAGGGAACACTAAAAATGAGAGAAAACACAGGCCTATCTTATGTTGACAATGGTGAAATGTAGGAAAATTTTTAAATAGGACTGAGGCCAAACAAGGTTCTTATCTTTACTCACAAGATGTTTTCTCTGAGCTACGTTGTTAAACAGAAAAGCCTGCTGAACCGGGAATCATAAAACTTTCAATGAAACTACACAATGTACTTTCAACTGAGAACCATGAAAGCTGCTGGTGAAAAGCAGGACATGCACAACATGTAAAAACTGAAGAAGGCAATTTGAACAAAGGGAGTCAAATGTGTGTGAGTTACAAAATAAAGGCATCTACCTAAGAGGTATTGTTGATGGCCTAATATATTAGTATCATAAGCTCAAAGGTGTTAGATGATAGGATTACAACACCAGGAAATAATAGAAACAGCGTCATCACACCACGTAAAACCACTTTAAAGTGGAGCAATGACTCAGTGTTAACAGAACACTGTTTGGTCATTGTGTTGAAACTAGAATCTACAGTAACTATGGAGTAAGAAGCTACATAAAGGGAAGAACAACTAGAGATTCAACAATTAATTGATTAGTCTATCATAAATATATTATTTATTAACTGTATTCATTATATTTTATGCCAAGGAAAATACTTTTGATGTTATTCTTCATTTTACATATAAATAATTTACATATTTAGGGGGCAAAACAGGGCATTTTATGTAATTTTTTATTTGGAAGAGACAGTCCTCACTGATCAACAGACAATATACATGAGCCAGAGTTAGCTGTATAGGCTAATTTCCATCTGTTGTCCTGATCCAGTTCTTAAATGTAAAACAAGCAAAATGACCGTCCTCATACACTAACAAAATAAAAACCATTGTGAAAACAATATACGCAACACAGAGGTACTACACAAAGCCACAAGTACGCATGTACACTAAAGTACACAGGAATAACTTGATCATGACATCACCTTGTACTCTTGGGTGTAATAAATCTTCTGATGTGGGCCAGACCGAGTGATCAATAAGTCAAGACAATAACTTGCAGCTTAATCGATAATGAAAATAATTGGTAGTTACAGTAAAGGACACCACATAAAATTGATTGTTACCATGACGTAAATGATGCGAAATGTGAAAAGCTGGCAGACGTATTATGTTCTCCACCCCGGACATGTGGTACACAACACTTGATGAACACATTGGTCACATCCTGACAGGAGACACGGCTCAGCTGAGATCACTCAGAGATATCCTGTGTTACACAAAACTGTAATTTTTCATGAGAAAGCATCAGCTCACTTTTACACTTCCCCTGCCCCCTTCCTCTATTGCAACTGTCACGTGTTTCACCAAACAAACAGCCAACGAGTCAAACTTTCCCTTGGAACCCAAAAAAAAGCCAGAGAGAGTGAGTGTGTGTGTGTGTGTGCGACCCCTTAAAACCAACTCATCGGTACATACATCCCTGCAACACAAACGTGGACTACTGGAGTCACCACAGCAGCAGTGAGGGAGAGTCACACGCTTCGACACGTGCAACTGTACTGCGAGCTATTTAAACAAAGAGTGTGTGGGGGGGGGCTGCCAACACACACACACACACAGACAAAAACAAAGCGACTCCATTATAACAAAGTGACACACACACACACAACTACTGGAGGCTGATGTGTATACACAATTAATGACGTGGATTTGATGCGTCTTTTCTATTTTTTAAATAGCTAACCTCTTAGCTACCATTATTGTTCTCGTGACCCTAATGTAACATTACAGCTGTTCGCGACTGGAAAGGCACCGACTAGCTGCTGGAGCCGGTTTACCTCTTACACTGTCATGGTTAGCACTTTGTGTCAAGCTAGGCTATGCTCTTTTGTGCAGCAGGGCAGCAGACGTACTCTTAGCTCAACGACACACTTTACACGCTAACGCACAGAACTGACAACTCGCTCCTGTTTCCCTTGTGAGTTGTCCAGCGTCGCCATAGCTGAGCGTCGGCGACATTTTGGTTGTTGTTGTTGTTGTTGTTGGCGATCGCGTTACGAAGAAACTAGGGAAGAGGAGGTGAAGAGAGAGGGGGAGAGAGAGAGAGAGAGAGAGGGGGGGAGAGAGTAGTGGCCTGTGTGAGATTAGCCTGAAAAGAGAGAAACACAACAACAACACTCACCAACGCGAAGGTGACCAGCTCCTCTCCGTCGCTCACATTCGGGACATGAACGCTTGTTTTCGCCGGGGACACCCAGGGGGAGAAGGGGGTGAGACACGGCAGGAGAACGTGAGAGTGCTTCCTCGCTCCTCGCTCCTCGCTGCTCGGCTCCTCGGGATCTTTGAGTCTCGCTGAGCGGAAACACTCGGCTCCACCAGCTGCCTCGCTCTCGCGCGGTCTCCATGGCTACCCCTGGAAAGGGGCGGGTCCGAGGATCTGTCCGGTGACGGCCCACACGCCGCCTCGACGACCAGGCTTCAAAATAAGAGCACCGGGATTCGGTGGAGAGACAAAAGAATCTATCGATTTAAGACTAAAACAAAAACAATGGAAGCCGCTCAACTGTATTCTAGACACGTTCCCTATCGAGGCAACCACATTAAATAACACGTGTTGTTGATTTTGTGAAAATATAATTATGATAATAATAATAATAATAAGATTTATGAACCTTAATTGGTCCCACAAATCATGCAACACACAACTACATGCAACATGGGGGGAAATTAAGTCACTGCCTTTAACCCGTCCACACGGAGCAGTGGGGCAGCTACTGAAAGCGCCCGGGGAGCAGATGTAAGGTGGGAGTAAGGTGCCTTGCTCAGGGGCACCTAGACAGTGGGACAGGGAGAGTCCATCTGTTAAAACACAATGTGTCCCAGTGAATCAACATCAAAAGAGAAAGTCATATTTTTGTAAACTCGCCCCCCCCTACCTCCTACATTCGAAAGAAGTTCACACAAATGCCAGTATCTCCTAGACACTAGATACATAGCACCAAAATCATAATCTCAGGACTCTTTACATAGAAGGTCAAGACCGTAAAAAATTACAGAGAAACCCAACTGTTCCAATAATGAAGAAGCCCTTTGGCTTCTGTGGAGAGAAGAAAATCCCTCATTAACTGGAAGAAAACTTCCAGCAGAACATGAGGCAATGTGGGCGGCATCTGATAGTCCCCAAATCCATTTCAGTCGGGCTCTGCTTATCTGGTTTAAGTGCCATATCATAAAAACTAAAGAGTAATGGCATGCAACAGTTTGGGCACTGTGAGGTATGAGGTGGAAATATCATGTTGGCATCCATGGCTCCTTTTATGATGCTGAACCCAACCTGACTTAAACCCTTATTAGTTATCTCTGTCTACGTCTGAGCTTTGGAATCTGATCTCATCGCATTATTCAACATTGGAGTTGTGTGGCAGCCAGTGGTTTACGAAACACATAGACATAGTGTGCAAACACATGGAGAAAGAGCAGATTCCACAGAATATAAGCCAACTCTGAGTGCAAATATCCTGCACTCCATCAAGTAACTGAAAATGAAATGAGGCTGGCTTCTACAACAGGACAATGTTCCAAAGCAAACCTCTGACTCCACCATGAAATTCACTTCAAGAAACGAAAGCTGAAGTTTTTGGAATGTGGCCTGCGGGAGCCTCTGGCTTGAACATCATTGAAAATCTGTGAGAACTTGCTGTGTCTGCAAGACGACTAAAAATATCTGTGCACTAGGAGTGATCTGTTGGGAGAGTGGGTGAAAATTCCTAAATCTGGAATAGAAAGGCTTGTGGCTATTAAAAGCGTTTGCAAGCTGTTATATCTGGCAAAGGGGGGGTTACTTAGTACTCAAACAGTTAGGAACCCGAACTTCTGCCAATACAATTATTCCCCCCTATTTAGAATCTATCAACTAAAACGTAACTGTGCATTAACGTTTAAGAAAAGTCTCATTTAAATATCTTTGCTCATGTAATTCAAAATTTCTACCTTTTTTTTAAAGCTATAAATAATTCTTGACATCGATATTGGACAATGTTGGACTGTGTGAATAAACACCAGGGACAAAGACGGAAAGAATTCAGGCGTTTGTTTAATCCTCTCGGTTCACACAGAGGTTTGGTGGTTGCTTTTACAAGAAACATTTTATTTTGATCATTTGATGTGGTTATTCTTTGTAGCTGTTACGACTGGTGAATACTAAACATAACCCAGTGTGCATATGTATTAGATTTACACTCAAGTCCTTATGAGACCCGAAGGGTGGTCATTTATTGTCACATATTATTTTTGTGAATAAACAGAATGAGAACATTCCATTGTATAACAGTATAGTGCTTTATTAACACAGTGCACTTGCAAATTTAAGACAGACAAGAACGAGTGGGTGGAATATTTACTGGAATTGACTCCAGGGGGAAAACAAGTCAAGACTCTCAACAGACCAACTCCAGTTACTCTGCACACGCAGAACACCATGTGTCTCAGTGACTCAACATCAAAAGAGGCAGTCACCTTTTTGTAAAGCCCCCCCCCACTTCCTACATTCTAAAGAAGTTCACACAAATGCAAGTATCTCCGTCATAAAACCAAACACTAGATACAGAGAGCAGCTGCTCTATGAAGAAACAAATGGGTTATTGATTTTCTAGATCCATGAAATATAGAGGGCAGCTATGGCATCAAAATAAGATTCTATTATAGAATAATGTTGGAGGATAAACCGGATTTGACTTTAATGTGGGAATAATATAATCCATATCATACAGTAATCTGTCCTTGATCCTCTGTGTGCGTTGTGCTGTGTGGAGCTCAGAGAGCCTCTCAGAAACTACACGGATATTAATATTTGGTACATTAATATGTGTTTTCATTTGTATTTACAGCTTTGTCAATGTTTTCCTTCTACTTTTATATATGTTCTGCATTGTCCTTTATATGTTAGGCCAAATAATCTTTCTCAGTACGTGTTGTGATGTTATTGTATTTAGTAAATGGTGCAAAGGTCCACTCCACGCAGGTTGCTCAGTAGGAAGGAAGTTCATATCTGAACAATAACTGGAGATATTTCTCCACATGTAAAATTTAGAGAACACAACATTTCTTTTCATCCGCACAAACACGATTGTGAGGTGTTGACAGGATGTTGATTCCACATACTTCTTAATCCACGTATTTATCCACTTATTTTCTCCAGTTCCAGTTAAATGTAGCTCGCTGCCTGATCTCTTCTTACACCCCCGCCTTGATTTCACCTCTTTGTATATCAACCCCCCCCCCCTCCTCTCCCAGAAGAATCCTTGTTGATAAAATGTGTTTTAAAGTCATGGCACTGGCCGAGCAGTGACTGGTGGGATTGCTCTGCAGGCAATACCACAAAAGTTTGTTATTCTACATTCTGCTCAGCCCAGGGCTAGAATGTGCAGTGTGAAAAGACTGAAAAAAAAGGGTCACTCCATTGAGAGATGAAGCAGCAACATGTCAGATTTTTTTTCCCATCAAGAAGAATAGATGGAATTTTTCTTTTGCTTCAATGTCACCGCCAATACAAATTAAGAGCTGGGTTTTCAGTTTAAAAAAAGGCATGGGCCTTTTTAAACTTAAGCTCTATTTTTTGAAAAGTAATAGTTGTGGTGCAAGTTATGTTGATAAATATTACTATTCCAAGTAATGATGAAAATAATTGTAATGCTAATTAATGCTGATAAATACTGTGGTGCAAAAGAAGTTCAACACATTGTTTCTCAACAACGACGAACACACCGAATACTGCGTTAGACGATACATATGAAATACATTGAATAGTGGTTCGATTCATTTCTAATTAATTTCTAATGGATCAATCTTAATCACGTGATCAATCTTAATCACGTGGATCAGTAACACTAGTGTTCACGAGCACATGGCCGCTGTGACAAAGCTCTCTGGTGACCTCTAGTGGAGGCGTTGCCTTCCTACTTATATACGCACATCATTTTAGTTCTTTATATAGTTGGGACATTGTTAATAATTATAATTTTATTTAAACTGCATGTGATTCATTTTCATTTGAAAGCAGTGAATATGTAGATAAATATATTTAAAGTATATTTTCAATTGGCGGCGGATGAGAAACATAAAACACACCTACTTCCTGGTTTCCGGCAAGATGGTTGCTCCCTGTCGCTTCCTGCTTGGTGAATGTCGCATCAATTAATGCGCAACCGATGCACAGGAATACGTTTGAGTCACTTTCTGGCTGCTGGGGGACGAAGTGATAACAGCTGTAGTCGTTTGTCTCAAACTTTTAGAAACGATGAAACATGCTAACGAGGACTAGCTCACCAGTTCATGTGCAAAGTGGACTAAAGATGGTTGTGGTGTTGTAGCTGCTCAGCAAGATGCTGGCCAAGTGTTTTAATCTGCAGAACAGTGAGTTGTGTCTCACGACCTTTCACCCAGTCACACTAACATGTCCCAGTTAGGCTCGCAAACATGGAAGAGCTCTATGTAAACAAAGACAGGTGTTTCACTGCCCCAGAGGTGTGTTCAGGGGCCGTGACTCAGAGCTGGAGGGCCTTCATCCAACGACAGGTGTTTCTGTGTGACACTGTTCTGGTAGTATTCTCCGCATGTGTCTTACTGATAGCATGATATTTGTCATTGTATAATTTTTCTTTGTCGAAGATTTGGTGTTTATTTGATTGTTTGTCGTGTTAACAGGTTCGGGGACAACAGAGGCATCTCAAGAAGACGGAAATAAAGTCCCTTCGGAGGAACTGTCTCTCTTAGTCCTGACATGGCTCACTCACAGATCCGACTGAAAATTCTCCCCAGTGTTCGCTGTCTCTTTGACAAACTGGTGCAGGTGAAAGTAGACGGACTTGCTCCTTTCAAACCAGTAGAACTGAGGTCGAAGTTGGTTGACGACAGAGGGATGATTTTCAAGGCTTCCGCCTCGTACAAAGCAGATGAGACCGGCCGGGTGGATGTTTCCCGCGCACCTTCACTGGGAGGAAGCTACACCGGAGTGGAGCCCATGGGTCTGTTTTGGGCCATGTCTCCAGACACTTCGCACAGTAAACTGCTGAAGAAGAATGTGCTCAGCCCGATTCTGGTGGAGATAGCAGCAGTAAGTCAGGAGACTGGTGAGCTGCTGATCTCTGAAACTGTGGAGCGAGGATTCATGACAGAAGGGATGAGGAGAGTTCCGGTGCAAGAGGGCAGGATACGAGGAGTCCTCTTCATTCCTCCAGGTTAGTTGTGTTTAACTTGAGGTAGCCTTGATAAATGTACATTACGTAAACTAAACATTACATATACATTCTTTTGGCAGGAAAGGGTCCTTTCCCTGGAATAGTGGATTTGTACACTCTGGGTGGAGGTCTCAGTGAACCCAGAGCAAGCCTCCTGGCAAATAAAGGCTTTGCCGTTTTGGCACTGGCTTATTATGGCTACCAGGATTTACCGAAAATGCCCTCAAAGCTGGATTTGGAATACTTTGAAGAAGCTGTAACATTTCTGAAGAACCAGCCAGAGGTTAGTACTGACGATTAAAAGTAAAGATAATCATACTCTCCATGTTATTCCCTTATTTGGATATTTACTTTACTGGTTTGTGTCCAATTTGTTCACAGCAAATAAAATGAGAACGTAAAATATATAGATATGTAGTCACAATGTCGCCATCTGATGGCTTCTGATGGCAACGTTATAACTAAACATTTATTAGAATAAACAATGAAGTAAGATAAAGTAAGAAAACTAATACGTTATGATAGAATTGAAGCATAATTTAATTTAATCAAATCTTATTTAATATGACGTATTATCAGTGGTACATCTGCTGATTAATATTATACCTCTCACCACAGGTCAAAGGTCCTGGGGTCGGCATCATCTCCATCTCTCACAGTGGAGCTTTGGCTTTGTCAATGTCCTCTTTCCTAAATGGGATCACAGCAACCGTCTGTATTAATGGCTGCATTGGAAACACTGCTTTCCCCCTCCATTATAAAGACATTGTGATACCTCCGCTCCCTGCTGTCACCAAGAATGTTAAAATAACTGACTCTGGGCTTTTCTGTATACACGACTTCATACCAGGCCCGACCTTGGAGAAGAACCAAGCATCTTTGATCCCGATTGAACGCGCAAGCTGCCACTTCCTGTTCGCTGTCTCTGAAGACGACCAAAACTGGAACAGTGCTTTGTTTGCACAACACGCTGCTGCAACGCTGAGAAATCATGGCAAAGAAGAATCATGTCAGGTGGTGACTTACCCTAAAGCGGGACACTTTCTGGAGGTCCCTCACATGCCTTTCTGTCCGTCTGGCTTTCACGCTGTAGTGAGGAACACCGTGGTGTTTGGTGGCGAGCCAAAAGCTCACTCTGAGGCTCAGCTGGACCTGTGGGAACGAGTCCAGGCGTTCTTCAAGAGCCACTTGGACAAGTAGAGCACTTGTTAGCAAGGAGTGTTGAGTCAAGCTTGTCAAGCATCCCAGAGTGGTCATCCTTAGCTATGCTCACCTTGTGTGGAATTTCTAATGAATTTAACAAACATTGCCAACTCAACGTGGCTTTAACGAAAGTTAAATGGGTATTTTTGGTTTTCTGTTTAATTATTACACTAACACATCTAAATAGATCACAGCCGTCACGATTGTGCTCTTCCGAAAATAACATAACACACTTTGTGCTGTTGTGGGAAAAAGAAACTGTTGTCGAGACCATAACTATTTGGACGGTGACACAATTTTCATCATTCTGCCTCAGTACACTAATCAAATGGTTTTTAAATGAAGCCATGAAGATGTTGTAGAAGTGTAGATTGTTAATTCC